AACGGGGAACCTCACGAATATCCCAGTATTTGCTAGACGCCCTCTTTTTTAAAATATAAGCCAACGATAGAGAAATATGACAGGGAAGATTGGAGATAGATATAATTGAGTCAAACGAGCAGTAGGCACAGTAAGTAAAGTGTGTGAATCGCTGTGATTTATAGCGTGTGTTTATAAAAGAAGTTAAGTTAAAGTGACTGTAGAAATTCTGTGTGTTGCAAAGTTGTATCGAGAAAGAATAAACTAGTTTTAATTAAAAAAGGACTTGTATCGCTGAAGTTTCTCGGAAATAATTTCTACGGAAAATTATCAAACTACCAGATACATAACAGTACCGTGACCAGCTGACATCTTTTGCCAACTATTAGTTGTACTAATGATAAATTACAGAGCTAATCTGCATTTCTCATCTGGTTTTCTTGTAGATTGTTCTACCTATTCTACAGTAATAGAACTATATATTTCTGCAGGGCATTGATAAGGTCTGTAAAACAAAGTTATATAGCAAATTTTCATGTGAAGTATTCTTGACCAGCAAAACATTGATTTCTACACGATTATCTTGCGATATTTGTCCTGAGAGTAGTGACTGAATTACACTGTTACTAACGGATAATATGACTGCCTATAATTTTATAGGTTTATACTAGTTTGATACTTTTTTGATCAACACATGACAGTACTCTGGTGCAGTTATTCCTCTGTGAACTTTCAATAGCTAAATAATAAAACAAACTTTGCCCAAATATACGAAATGCAAACAAACTCGTTGGCTTAAGTATAAACATCTGAATTTCGTGTATGCTTCATGTAATAAACGTGAATAATGAAGAACGTATTTTCCTTTCGCATGTTTAAGTTATAGGAAAATTATTTATTTTTTTCAGCTTAAACTCTAAGAAATAATATGCTGTAAAAAAGTAATTTTTCCACTGCTGTGTCTGTTGGCCTGGTGGAATGGTTTCAGCTTTGCTTAAAATCATGAAAGAAAAAATAGAAAAAGAAGAACTTATATCAAGTGTCAGAACGGAGCAAGTATTTTCAACATGCCAAGGACATACTATAGCTCTTACTCAATCAACAGAACACACTTGTCACTATTGCTTGTGCTCATTACCTCGTCATCTCGTTTTCAATACAGTCTATACATTTTTCTTATCAACATCATTGATGAATGTGAGTATGTTTTTACATACACACTAACTTAGAAGAACAAGCCTTTATTTTAAACGTGTTTTGTTCCTTACTTTTCCGGTTTTAAATGTGTTTTTGTCTCTTAGGTCTTCAAAGATTTAAACATATTTCTTTCTCTTAAGTCTTCAACAGTGCAAATGTATTTTTGTCTCCCAAGTCTTCAATGGTTTAAACGTATTTTTGTTTTCCAAGTCTTCATTAGTTTAAACGTGTTTTAGTCTCTTAAGTCTTCAGTTATCTAACCTTATAGGAGAGATTCACAACACACTAATTTTATGTATTCTGTAAAATACCATACGTTTTATGTACATCTAATTTAACTTCCTAGTTCATTAACTTGTACGTGTTTACTTACTCTGTTTAAAACTGTTTAGTAGGACAAAGCAACAAAGATCATTCACTTTCCACGATTCTTTTTTGAGTTTTATTTTTCTTATTTTTGATAGAAACTTTGTTGTTCGTAGTTTTAACCAAAGATTAGGTATTTGAATTGTGCCCATGAAAATGAATTAATTTGGGGTAATTCTGTTTTGCAGCTGATATGTTTGTATGTATGTATACAGGATGTATCCTGATTATGTCTCCACCCGAAGTATTGTTCAGTTTGGAATATATTTAGTTATGTTATTTCTTGGAGCTGTGAAAGCGTTATAAGACTAACAGTCGAATTCCAATATTTTGTCAGACAAGAGGTAGTGGTGGATGCAGTTTACAATTAGGGACGGCTAGCGCAGATAGAACTTGAGTAGCTTTGCGTGAATATCTGAAAAACAAACATAAACGAAAATCCCTGGCAGATATCGCTAATGAAATGTACCCTCTGCGTGTCTTGGAAAATGTTTTCAGAATGTGGCATTCAGTTCCAAGCTGACGAAGAGTTTCTTCTGATGCTACAGTGTCAGACTGTATCATTGTTCCCTACTTGTCAATATAGTAGCAACGAGGTTATGTAAAATACTGAAACAAGTATGAAGCCAATCTATTAGTCAAATCACCATTTGTCACTGAAAAATTAAGAAGAATAAATTACTAGGGCCAATGTTACATATTCTTCAACTTCTATGTAAATATAGGCTCACTGTGGAGAGAAAGAGACAACTCAAAACATCATACATATAAAACCACGAAGTAGAAAAAAATTGCTCGGGGCTTGCATTCATATAATGTAGATATAACAAATCCAAATATCGTCAAAATCGAACAATATTTCGGTTGAGTAAATAACTGTGCTTCGTCCTGTATAAATATATTTTTCTAAATGATACAACCAACGTATTGAATGAAATAGCAATCATTTCTTCAACGCAGTTAAAATGACATTCCATTTAAATTAAAATGGCTTTTTTAAAAGCATAATAAAGGCGAAGGTAAAATTTAGTCTAATCTATACATATAAAGCACAAAAATCTGTGTGTCTGTCTGTTTGTCTGTCCGTTATCTAACCACTCCTAGGTCGCTGGGCCAATCTCAATCAAACTTTGTGGGATGATAGTCTGGAACAAAGGGCGTGTTATTGTATGGTTCACAACCCCTCTATCCCATATTATTGCTGTTATTGAGCATTTATTATCTTTGACGTAAGTTAACGTTATCTACATTCATAAATGGCACCACATACATAAAAAAATAACTATTAAATTTTCCAGAACACAACATACACACATTGTGGGAGAAAGTACACAAACGTATCATATATCTCAGAGAATGCGCTAGCACTCTCTACGGAGGAATTCAATGAAAAAAATGACCGCCACTATTGCAATAAAACATAAACTCAGCTGAAGTTTTTACTCCAACAGCCACCATAAGGCTGATATGAAGAGCTGTTGCTTGAGTTATACCCACTTCCTACTTTGAACCGTGACCTTTTAACTTCGGTCGTAAGACACTTCTGCGGAAATGACCATCTATTAATTAAACAATGTGAAAGGAAGTGGGTGTTGAAAGCTGATAACCGAAAGCATCTCTACCGCCATTACTTTTAGCATTACCTCTTCCTACAAAGTCACACTGACCATCGCACAATCTATACCATGTTTTAAGTATATGCATATTGAATTATCAAAGCTTATACAAAACTTTTGGTGAGGTAATAATGAATATTGTAATAATATGTTATGCTATAAATAAATGTGTGAAAGTTAGGATTTTTGTGTTATTTATCATAGCATCCACTCA